GGGAAGCTGTGCCCCACGGTGGGGCAGGATGGGTCCTGGAGGTGGCTATGCTCCACGGTGGTGCCATGGTGGAACCCTGCTCCCCTGTCCCCCTCACACACACTGAGGGCAGGGAGGTGGGATGGTGCCACCCATCTCCATCTGTGGGGCTGGGGTGGGATTGTAGGGCCCCCATCCATGGGGCTGGGCCCTCCCTCTGCGGGGTGAGGGTGGGAATGAGTCCCCCCATCCATGGGGCTGGATTCCCTCTGTGGGGCTGAGCCCCCAGGCCCCAGGGGCACAACTCCCACAGGCCTCGTGTGTCCCCACATCCCCAGCAGTTCCCCCCTCCCCGAACCCTCCTGGCTCAGCCCAAGGGGGCTCCCCCAGACCCCGGTTCAGGGGGACACAGGGAACTGGGGTCCGTCCCCCTCGGCCCATCGGGGGGTGAACACTTTTATTGAGTTCCAACCGATCCGGATCCCTTCAATCAGCCCGAGGAGAAAACCGAGGAGTAAACCCGGAGGAGGTGGAAAATCCGTGTTTGGAGTTGTCCCAGATCCTCACGGCTGGGAGCCGGGGGACGTCAGGAGAGGGGCTGCTGCAGGGCTGGGTGGCTACACCAGAGGCTTTCCAAAAATCACTTCTGCTGTCCCAAATCATCCCTGGTGTCCCAAACCAACCCCGACATTCCCAGATCACCCCCAGCATCCCCAGATTCCCAAGCCCTGCATGGGGCCTTATTCCCAACCCACTTACACTGGATTTAGGGAGGGGAGGAAAAGGAGGAGTAGAAAGAGGAGAAGGAGATGGGAGGATCCGGTCAGCCCTTGGAAACCTTTGGGAAAGGATTTAAGGGAAAACCTGGGGATTTGGAGATGGCCGGGCCCGATTCCACGCAGCTCTGGTGGCTGCAGGGGGACAAACAACAGAGAAGAGAGAAAACCTGGGGCATTGTCCCAGAGCAGGGTGGGATGAGGCCCTCCCCCAGGGGTCTGGGGGATTCAAGGCACTTGGAGCGGGGCTGGGGGAGGGGTCTCGCCCAGATCCCAGGGGGCAGCGACAGGGGAGGAGGGTCCAACCTCGCTGGGGTCACCTCCAGGTCACCCCCTGGGCCCTGCGGCTGCTCTGACGGCTTTGGGGTTTTCAATGGTCACTTTTCATTCCAATTTCACATCACTGTTTCCATTTAATCCAATTTCACTTATTTGGGTCCAATTCCATTTCAATTTCCATTTTCAACTTTGATTTCAATGTTCAATTCCAATTCCATTTTTAATTCAAATTTCAGCCCAATTCAAATTCCAATTTTAATTCCAATTTCAATTTTAATTCCAATTTCAATTTTAATTCCAATTTCAATTTTAATTCCAATTTCAATTTTAATTCCAATTCAAATTCTAACTTTTATTCCAACTGCAATTCCAATCGCAATCCCTCTGTGGATTCCCCAGNGGCAGCGGGTGGGGGGCTTACAAGGGAAACCCCGAGCTCTTCCTAAGGCAACCAGGGCTGGCCATCCTGGGGGAGTGGGATCAAGGCTGGGGACCCCTGGGGCACCTGGGGACCCCTGGGGACATCTGGCCATGCTGGGGGTGACCAGGACAGAGCTTGGAGACCCCTGGGGCACACTGAGGACCCTGATGGCATCAGGACTAAGGCTGGGAACCTCTGGCCGTTATGGTGGGACCAAGACTTGGGCTTGGGAACACCTGGACACCCCAGGAGGAGCAGGACCTAGCTTGGAGACCCCTGGGGACCCTCCCCACACCCAGCTGCTGGGGGGAGCCCTCGTTCCCCCCCCAAATCCTCCAGAGCACCGGCAATCGGCTCGAGCCGGCTCAGGGCGCTGATTAGGGGCTGAGCCCGGTTTAGCCCACCCTAATCCCCAAGTTTGGCCGGGCTGAGCCCTGATCCCCCCTAAGCGGCTTTGGGGGCGCAGGGTATATCAGGGGGGTGGGCGCCCCCCCCCCGGCACCGCCGCCATGGATGAGGAAGAGTTCTACCTGTTCAAGAACCAGTCATCGGTGGGGCCCTGGGATGGGCCCCAGTACCACATCGCGCCCATGTGGGCCTTCTACCTGCAGACCATCTTCATGGGGCTGGTGTTCGTGGCGGGCACGCCCCTGAACGCCATCGTCCTCATCGTCACCATCAAGTACAAGAAGCTGCGGCAGCCGCTCAACTACATCCTGGTGAACATCTCCGTCAGCGGCCTCATGTGCTGCGTCTTCTGCATCTTCACCGTCTTCGTGGCCAGCTCCCAGGGATACTTTGTCTTCGGGAAGCACATGTGTGCCTTTGAGGGCTTTGCAGGGGCCACCGGAGGTACGAGGGGACCCTGGGGCACTCAGGCTGCTGCGGCCGGAGATGATGGAGTGACCACTGGGGCGACTGCGGCCAGAGGGGCCACAGTGATCTCCAACAGGGGCTGAGGGACTTGGGGTGACCACCATGGTCTGGTAGGGCTCGGGGTATCATTGACCATCACATTCTTCTAAGGCTTTAGGAGTTAGGGTGACCACCACGAGCTGCGGGGGTGGAGGCATTGGGGGGACCTTCTGGACCTTTAGGAGCTGACCACTGTAGTCTGATGGGACCACAGGAGTTGGGGTGACCGCTGGGGTCTGGTGGAGCTGAAGGTGGGGTGCCTATTATGTTCTTGTGGGGTTGGGGAATTTGGGGTGATCATTGTGATCTGAAGGTGGCAAAACGGGTAAGGGCCATGGCTAGGGTTGAGCGCTGTGATCTGCTGTGGCTGGAGGAGCTGGGGTCACCACTGAGGCCTGAAGGGAGGGGTGATCACCACATTCTGCTGGGCTGCAGGACTCGGGGTGACCCAGGGGGGCTATGGGGATTGTGGTGACCCCCAGCCCATGGGCGGTTGTGTGAGGCCCGTGGTGGCCCTGCTCCCCCAGGGCTGGTGACAGGGTGGTCCTTGGCCTTCCTGGCCTTCGAGCGCTACATCGTCATCTGCAAACCCTTCGGCAACTTCCGCTTCAACTCGCGCCACGCGCTGCTGGTGGTGGC